ACCCCCAAATAAATGCCTATTTCAGTTTCATTCATTAAGAAAAGTTTGTTTTTCATAATTTGTCTACAGATATCCCAATGTACCATAGTATTTCCATGCACCATAATTTCGAGGAAAATTGTTTATATACAATCAAGTTCTTCAAGTCTCATTCTGTATATAAATCATCTGAACTCTGAAACGGTTTTAACCGTCGATTTTCGAGATTTATCAGTGTCCGGCCACCAGAACTCAGAGATTAGCAGATTTTTCAAGGAAAAGAAAGTGAAAACAAAAAATCGAAGCATCAGGTATTGATGGGTGAAAATGAAGCGAGATAGTTCAGTGAGAGATGATCATACTCGATCCAAAAGCTTCCTTTGTTATCCTTTGGCTCTACGATATGCTTTCTGGTTTCGGAAAGAGCGCTGCAACTGCAGCGTCCACGCTCTCAGGAATCAGTAATGCTGAATGGCCGGCTTTTTTCACTTACAAATAGGATTTTTTGCGATGATAAAGACAAGTGAAAGATGTGATCGTCATTTATGGCTGAACCTTGAAGGGGTTTAACAGAGAGGTCTGATGTCGGAAAGAGTGAAGTAGAAATGAACGAAGCGCCGAACAAAGAGGGTTGCCCAAGATTATCTATGTAATACTACTAGTAACAAAAAGAAATAGGGAAAATAATGGTTACCGCTAAGCTTTTATTAAATTTAGAATAGAGATAATTACCTAGGTATAACTAAAACTCTACCACTTTCCAAATCTATGACTTTATGAGTTTTTTTCCCCAAATAATATTAAAATTCGTAATATTTAATTAATATATTATTAAATAATTAAATAAATATTTTATATGGACTAATATGCCCTTAGATTATAATTATAAAACCGTAACATCCTATACATCTTCTCCAACCCTAGTTGTTGACGTCTAGTATCCCCTGCCTCTCCGTCCAGCCATCTACCATCATCGCCCAACTGTCTGCCGTCTCCGCAAAACCACCGCCGGCCACCGTCCAGCCTCTTTCACGTCTTCATCCATATCAACAAGATCAGGACAAGTAGGCTTTAATTTTGGCGGATTTGGGGATCCAGTTCTTATGGCCGCGATTTTCTTGATTTTGTTCCATCATCAGCAATTTAACCATTGTTTGACATCTCGTCGGCTTAATTCGAACGATTTAAGCTAGCGGTGGAGATATCTGTTGATGGCGTTCAAGAGTGAGCACTTTGGCAGCTTGTTTGTGAAACACAATGAGGGATACGGAGTATTAGATCTACGGCCTAAGGGCTTGTTTTGAGATTTCTTTTCTTCAATTTTGTGAGATTTCTTTTTTTGTTCCTCAAAAAAAGAAATTAAAGTTTGTTGAATTTATGGTTTATGGGCATTAAACATGTGCATTGAGCATTAGTAGTGAATATGACAATAAGGCTTGAATATGACAGTGAATATGACAATACATAATAGACATGTTGTACATGGCAGTGAACGAATGCATTAAGAAATTTTGTTATGCAGTGATTATGACCAGTATTGCAGTAACACAAAGCAGTGATATCATCATCAAATGCAATAGTACTCAATTAAACGTAAAATAATAAAATTATTAAATTTAAAAAAATCCTCAATTGAATAAGAAGAGTATTAATTTTAGGGGAAGTGCAGTGATTATTACCAGATGTGCAGTAACGTCATGCATTAATTTTGTGCATTAACGGCAATATAAAGTGCAGTAATTTTAATTGGACGAAATTAGTGCAAAATGCACATATTTTAAATAAGGGTATTTTTGTCATTCAACATTTAAATATAAACGAATTTTCTATTTGTTTTTAGATTTTTGGTGATACAAAGGTATAAAAACTAGTTAGGTCATAGATTGAGAAACTCATTGAGTTTTAGTCCTATCCCGGTAAATTTCCCAATAGAATATCTCCCTTTCGTTAAATTTAAGTTGCTTGGACCGTTAATTGTAAGTGGAATTCCCAAAAATGTCCTTATCTATTAAACTAAACTATGGAGTAGTATAAAATAGAGGTGAACAAAAAAAACGAAACCGACCAAAATCGAAACCGACTCAAACTGATTAATCACTGGCGGTTCGGTTTGCGGTTACACATTTGAAGTTAAAAAACCGACCGAACCAAAACCGACCGACAAAAACATGCTAAAATCGACCGAAACCGACACGAACCGAACGATATTAACCGAACCAAAACCGACTCAAGTAGTGCGGTTCGGTTTACGGTTTCACCTTTTCCAAAACCAAAACCGACCAAACCGAACCAACCAAACCGAAAACCGACCAAACCGAACCGACGAACACCCCTACTATAAAATAAGAGTACATCAAGTGAAAGTTTCACATGCTTACTCCAAAAGTATTCGAACAAAAAATTAATGTTTTCCCAAGCATCATTGCGGCACACTTGAAAGTGTTCTGTGTCTTTTTGTTTTTCTTCTTTTCTGCTCCAATTTCAATTCCCAGTCGCAGTCCCATTCGTACATCAAAGGAAAATTGACTCGGTTGTGTATTTGAAGCAGGGGTGGGCAAAAATATCGAACCGGCATGATATCGAACCGGACCGATATGGTACCGGACTGAAAAACGGGACTTGAAACGGATCTCAAATTTTTTGTCGCGAACCAGACTGTACCGGTTCTAAACAATGTCGTGACCGTTTTAAATTTGTAGTACTACAATTTTTCTGAAATTTAATAATTATGTAATACGGAGTATGAAACTTGATAAATTATGTGGATTTTAGAGGATGACTAAACTTTAACTTTCACTTAAACACTTCGAAAAGTGACATTGTTTGGTATTAGTAGAATATGGTATCGTCTCGTTTGAAAATAGAGGATGACAACCCTTTTTGCTATCCCCTTCATGTGTTTATGAAAATGGCTCTACCTATTTTTTTTTTTTTTTTCGCATAAGATATGGAATAGGAGCATAAGATATGGAATCAGAAGTGTCGAATGAGAAAACAAGAGAGGTAGTGCGGACAGTATAGGAACATCAGATAAATATCGAAACAGCCAAAAGTCCAAGGGGGTGTTTGGTTAGGAGGTTATCAGCCATTTTTTGGCTGATTTGACCATCATTTAGCTTTTTGACCAGATAAACAGCTAATTGAGGTGTTTGGTTACTTGGCTTTTTGATTTGGCTTTTTATTCCAAACAGCCAAAATTTGAAAAGCTAAACAATGGAGCGTTTTGGACTTTTGGCTGTTTCGATATTTATCTGATGTTCCTATACTGTCCGCACTACCTCTCTTCTTTTCTCATTCGGCACTTCCTATTCCATATCTTATGCTCCTATTCCATATCTTATGCGGGAAAAAGGCGAATAGGTAGAGCCATTTTCATAAACACATGAAGGGGATGGCAAAAAGGGTTGTCATAGCCACCCTCTTTATCATGTGCCAAGACCAGACAAATGATAAAATCATGCCTTAAACAAAATTTTTATTTTTCTTAAATAAAAACGAACTAAGAAGTGATATTAATAATTTTAGCAAAATGTGTTAAACATATACGTAATATAAAAGTAGGTAGTAAACAAAACAAATTGTTTGATGCCCTTAAAAGTAATTTAACGATTTATCAGCCGATTGTAAACAACCGAATAATCAAACACTATTTTATAAACAACTAATATTATCAGCTAATCAAAACAGCCAACAGAATCTGCTGTTACCAATCAACCAACATAATCGGCCAACAGTCAACCGCCAACAGCCATTTGCCAAACACCCCCCCAAAACGCTCCATTGTTTAGCTTTTCAAATTTTGGCTGTTTGGAATAAAAAGCCAAATAAAAAAGCCAAGTAACCAAACACCCCAATTAGCTGTTTATCTGGTCAAAAAGCTAAATGATGGTCAAATCAGCCAAAAAATGGCTGATAGCCTCTTAACCAAACACCCCCTTTATGTATCTATATACAACATATATGTATTTTAGAAAGGATTGTAATATCAAACGGATATGACTTGACTGTAAACAATGATTTTATAATTGTAAGTGTCATGTTAGCGAATATTATGCTGTGATCAATTTTCATTATGAATGTTTATGTATTTATATGTATTTCCTTTTATAGTACTTTTGGGTCCCCATAAATGTTTGAGTCAATGATGTTGTCAATGCTATACGCGCAGATACATATGCATAAAATGTTACCACTTTAGGTATCTTCGCATAACAATCACAGCCGCAGTGTGCGCGCATTCACCTGAATGCTTTTCTTCTTTGAGAGCAGAGAGATTTCATCATGTAAAAGTTCTTCGATCATTATCAATGAAATATGTTTATGTTTCCTCATATTATTTCTGAGTGCATCCATATATATTAGCTAAAAATCTGGGATTAAATTTTCACATATAGAAACCTGTGATGCTAGTGGTTTAGGCTAGTACTACTTTGGTTTAGGATGTATATTGACATCTTTTTCTTTGGTCGTAGTAGTCTCTATTATGCTTTTGAGGATTTATTCCTTTATGTGAGTAGTTGGTAGAAGAATCCTCACTACTTGAGCTTCTTACTGATTAGAGACCTTAGAATATCTCTTATGCAACCTTAGAATCTCTCTTATGGAGTGTGCACACTTAAGGTAGAAGTTTAACTTCTAAATTGATGGATGGTCGGCGAGATTCAAAAAATTGGGTGAATCGTAATTCGCATGTGCCTTATGACCTACATATTTGTTAGGCTCGATAGATTTTGAGTTCTGTCTACCTTTTAAAGGAAAATTTTGGAATATATATAAATGATTTTGGTGAATTGATATTTGATAAAGGTTTTGGAAAGTGACATTTTACTTCAATACGAATATGTGAGTTATTTCTTAAAAACTTATAATTGTCAATACAGGTTAGGGTATTTTAGGGATGAAAAAAATGTCGGTGTAAACGTGTTGCTTTATGAGGTTGTACAATGTTCTTTATTGTGTGTACTCTTCAGAAGGATTTATTCTTCCGTTTCATTTCCGCCTCCTGACTCTCGTCCGTCAGATGACTCCGTTCTGTTATCACACTTCAAGCCTTCAACAATCAACTACCTCCTATTTCTTTCATCTCACAGCGGCCCGGCCCCTAACCCTGGTGTCACCCGCGCCCTAACCTCACCGAGCGGTTGCCATTGTTTCCGTCTTCTCGTGCCAACAGTCCAGGTACGTTTCCATTCCGTTTCTCCGTTTTTTGCTCACGTTGATCTGCTCAGCTTCCCTTCCCTATCTATCATGGTTTTCAATCCCTTTTAGCTTCCCTTTCATCTGCTTAATACTGAATTTCGTTTGATTCTGATTAAACATAAGAACGTAGAAGCACAAACCTAATTTTTCATACATTTATTAGATGTGAACCTCAAACTAGAACGAAATACAGTGTGGGGTAGGCCGGGAGGGAATAACACATAACAAAACTAGGCCATTAGTGTAATGCCGAACATTTTAACATGACTTAATAAAGTGAACATTGGGATTTTGAAAACTATGTTACGTCATTCACTTAATAAATTAGTGTTGTGAATTGAACCTTTACGATTTTCAAGACTATGCTACTTCATTCAGTTGATAACAAAGTGTATCATATGGTTTCATTTTGAGACTGTAAATTAGTGTGATGAATTGAATATTAGGATTTTCAAAACTATGTTTCATAAGCTTTACTTCAGCTTTTGCTTGTCATGGTTGTTGAGATGGAGGTCCACTCAGGTGGTTAATATGGTATCATTTTGAGAGAGAAAAATATAGTTCATATTAGAATAAGAATGAAGTCAGAGGTGCTGAGATAAGCGAATAGTCTGTTAGTATTTACACTTGTTCTTCGATTTTTCATTTATACTTTGAACATTAGGGAGGAGTTCCGCAAAACGTTCAAGGAGAATAATCCCGGAAGCAAATCCGTATCCGTTGTTAGTATATTTTCTTACACAATTATGACTGATTCGGGGAAAGTAGTAGTTAATATTGTGTTATTGTGTAAATGTAATATATGTGCAAATTTAACTTATATTTGAATTTTAAATGTTTAAATCTACCAGGTCGGTAAAGCTGGAGGATTCGAAAGGAAAAACATGTCTGATAGTGTGAGTGTTATCTATATCCAGGCTAGGAGGCTATGATCAATTATATTTGGGTCCAGTTTTTCATCATCATTGGTTTTTGAATCTGTTAGGATAAAGCTCCATACAAAGCAAAAGAAGATAAAAGGAAACGCGAATACGAGAAGACCATGGAGGCCTACAATAAGAAAGAGATTGTTGCCCCGGTGGAAGAACATGAATCTGATTAATCAAAGTCTGAAATAAACGACAACAATGAAGATGATGACAATGCCAAGGTTAGTATTGATTGAATGAAACACCAAGTCAGATTAATTTTTTTTGGAATGATCTAAAATTTATCAATAATGGTGCTTTGCTACAGCTGACTGCTTATGGTTTATTACCGCCTACCTCCTGCACTCTTCTCCCAAACTTGTTTTGCAAAGTTTTTTCGAGAGTATGCAGGGTTTTGGAGTAATATATTTACTGCTCCTTAGTATAGTTGTGGTTGAAAAAGCTTTTTCGGGAACACAACATACTATATATATACTTCATATATACTACTCCGGTGCTTTTCAGACTTTGACTTATCAGATTCATCTGGACTGAACCATAAGGCTATTAGTGTAATGCATTTAACTGAACATTTTAACATCAGTTAATAAATTAGTATAATGAATTGAACATTAGGATTTTCTATATTATGTTACTTCATTCGGTTGATAACAAAGTGTATTATGTGGTATCATTTTGAAGTAATCAAACTCAGGTGGTTAATATGGCATCATTTTGAGAAAAAATGATAGTTCATATTGAAATAAGAATGAAGTCAAACTTTACAGCCACTGTTATACTTATGCTTATTGTGCTAATTTAATTTAGTACTCCCTCCGTCCCAGAACTATCTTCATAGTTACTATTCACATGGTCAACTCAAATTACTCTTAATCTTTTACTTTATATATCAAATTTTTTTCAAGTTTAAAATTTCTTGATCAGGCTTTGTAGCGGTTTATTTTAATTTAGTTTCTGAATATGTAAATTTTAATTACTAAAAATAATCCGAGTGTGAACACGGATTAAGTTGCTTTAGCGTCAGTCAAGTATCGTAAACCAAAGGGAAAACTGTCAAATAGGCCCCCCTACTAATACAGAAAAGTCAATTAAGCCCCTGAACTCAAAAAACACTCAATTAAGCCCACGAACTATAAAAACGAGGCAAAACAGTCCTTTTAGCAGGTAATTAAGCAGTTAAAAAGAGATAAGGAAAAAAGGAAAGAAAGAGAAAAAGAGAAAAAGAAAATGTAAAAGCATGCCACATCATTTGCCACACATGCAACTTAACTGGGAACGGTTAATATCTTGCTAAAAGGACTGTTTTGCCTCGTTATATTTAGTTCGTGGGCTTAATTGGATGTTTTTTGAGTTCGGGGGCTTAATTGACGTTTTTGTATTAGTAGGGGCCTATTTGACACTTTTCCCTAAACCAAACTATGAAGATAATTCTGGGACGGAGGTAGTAATAGAGAAATGAAAAGGCAGCTAGATTTAATGAAGTGCTGCAGCCTGGAATTAGCCTATTTGAGCAAAATAAACTATGTTTGCTTCATAAGGTCATGTGTGGATCAGGGTCTACTGAAAGATAGCAATAGCTAAAGACAACTAATTGTTCAAAATGTATGTGTTTATATTTTATATACCTAAAGAAGCATTACATAATTTCATAAAACACAACTAAACAATTAAGAATGTACAAAGTGGTATAAGGGAATAATTTTAGCCGAAAATTGTATTTCGTTTCTTTGTTATCACATGGTTGTTTATTATTTGTATTCAAATTGATAATAATGTGTTCTGTCTAACTTATGTCAATGGAATCAACCTATTTGAATATTCTTATAACCTCTGGATATCTCATATGTCCTAACATCTGTCATTAGCTTAGCCTATTTTAAATAGTCTAATACTCTCTATCAAATTACTAAATGATTCAGTTACAAAAGGATCCCTTTTGGCAATCTATATGTTTCTTAAACTAGAAATTTATCTGTGAGTCGTTTTAAAGAACACATGAGGTGAAAATTGAAGAATATGAAAGTTAGGAATGAAACATGAAATTTAAGAAAAACCTGTTTGTAAAATTTAGTGGATTAATGTTTATTTTGGTTGGTAAAAGGACTACATGCATTGATGGTATTTTTATATCTGGTTTGTTTCATTTTTTTTAAAGAAATGTTATGTGGTTGTGTTTAGCTAAGTTGTGAGTAAATAATATAAATTAGGGTTCTAGAATGGGTAGATGGGTACTACAATGGAGATATAAAGACCAGGAAAGCAATGTAGGCTATAGAAATCATTACTGATCGGTTGGGATTACAGAGGACTGATGAATTGAGAGAGCTTTATGAGTCTCTGTTAGCGGGTGAAGCTAAGCCACAACCAGATATGCACTCTGTTGCATTGTCACCGGAAGATTTCACAGATACAGAGTGGTATTTTTTTGTTTGCATGTCATTCCTATTCAACATAGGCCAAGGGCAACTCTCTTACTCCCTTTCATCTTTCTGCACTTGTAAAATTTTTAGGGTATCTGACGGGAGCATATGGTTTTTTATTGTTAATGTCTCCCCACCCAAACTTCATTTCTTTTTTAAAATTTAAAGAACAAGCAATGACCCATCAATGAAGAGAGCACACTTACTTGTTCCTAGGACCGAACATGAGGCCAAAATCAGATCTGACCAAATTGAACTAGAGCTAGAACTTAGTAGGAAAAAAGTTGGCCCAAAGAGTGGACCTATTTTTTTTCTGGCTCAGGACTGGTCAAGAATATTCCAGGTCAAACTCAACTGATACAAGACTGGTATCACATTTCTTTAAAAATGGTTTGGCTATGTTTTAATCTTTAAAATAAAAATTGGCTTGCCATCCGTAAATAAAGAAAAGTGAAGGTTTGACAAATGTACACGACCAAATGAATGTTGACTATGTTCCAGAAATGTCTTTAAGAGTATTTGGTTCTGAAATTGTCGTAAGCTGGGTGGAGCCTGAAGTCATGCTAATGCCCTTTTACATCACTAACCAAGTTGCCTGAGAGGGCACTTGAGAAGAAGCAAAGTATTTGACTATGCAATGCAGACCAAGCAGACAACGGAACCTTTATCATATCATTGCTTGCAAAGGAAAGGGGAGCAATTCTTACCCAAATCTCATATAGGTGCGCAAAAAAAGAAGCATTGTTTAACATTTTGATACACAATCTCATGACGCTATTTTTTTGTCTTTAAAAAACGCCTCCTCTACTGTGTGGAGCAATTCTTACCCAAACCCCGTCTAGCCTGCACAAAAAAAGAAGCATTGTTTAATATTTTGATACACAATCTGATGACACTATCTTTTTTGTCTTCAAAAAATGCCTCCTCTACTACGTATGTATGTTCTATTATAGCTGGCCGTCCAGAGTGCGTCTATTCAGGTAAACCATTTTTTACCAACATCGTTACTTAATATGGTCTCTCCTTTCTGTATAAACCTTTCAACAAATTGCTATTGATTTCAATTCAGAATGGCTTTTTAATTGTTGATGTTTTTGTCTCATAGACTGTTGTATGCTTTCTGCACTTGGGAGGTGTAATTGAGCTAGGAGCTACTGACTTTGTAAGTGAGCTTCAATTTTTCATAGTTTCCTTTGCCTCGTGCTTTTTTCATGTGTGATGTGTACATCAAGTGCCTAATAAAAGTCATGGATGTGATACTTTACTTTAAACCGTAAAATGGGCGATCGTACTACAGTGTACCGGTGTAACTCGGGTTTTGTATGCCACCGATCAAAGACCATACAGATATTGCCACACCTTGTGGTGCTCATATGCAAACTGAATATGGCCACCATCTTTTTGACCATGCTGCTGGAAATGGCAGTATATATTCTCTCCTCAAAATTAAATATCTACATGAGAGTGTGAGTATAAGAGTATTTTACATTATCATTCTCCCATTCTCCCATTCCCCCAATGGGATACAACAGAAGATAGTTGCAAGTAAACCGAAAGTGCATATTTTGGGTCAAAATTTCATTTCAACACCTGTATTGTAATATCTATTTTGATCTTCACATCCTTTTTGCAGTTTTACCTTAGATTCCACTACTGTTCCCCAATGTAAAAAAAACATTTTCTGGATAAAGGACTCATAGAAGTCTCTTCAAATAAACTCCTTAAAAGAATAGGGTGGCATCCATCCTTTCCACTTTCACGTAGGTCAATTGTTTTGTATGACAAATTACTTGTACGATAAATGTTGTGACTTCACGTTTAATTGAGATGTATATTTGTTTTTAAAGTTTCACGTTTTTTTCTTTGTCAATATAATACAAATTGCAAAAATATAATTAAATATTTGGGTTACAGAATACATTGGACACTATTCTAATCGCGCAACGCGCGTTACAAAACTAGTAAAATTTATAAATGTTATTTTGGATGTGATATTAGTATTTGAAAAGTAGATGAATTTTGAAGGACATTGAGTACAAAAACTAAATTTGTTAAATCAAATTATTTTAGGGAAAATCGCATATATGGTCCCTCAGTTATCCACGAAATTTAAATCTCAGACCTGTATTTCTGAGATTGTAAATGTCACCCCTTTATTGTCCAAAATGCTGTAAATGTGGTCTTTTTGAGGGGTGAAATATACAATGTGAGCGAAAGTACATTTCACTACTTAAAGGACCACATTTCCATCATTTTGGACAATTGAGGGGTGACATTTACAATATCAGAAATACAGGTCTGAGATTTTAATTTCGTGGATAACTGAGGGACCATATATGCGATTTTCCCATTATTTTATGAGATTGAGTGAGTCTTATTTAGCTATAAAGCTATTTTTTTTTTGTGTTTTCATTCTGCACTTTGTTTTGTGCAAGTGATGAAAGTTATGCTTGACAAAGAGAGCCACATTAGAACACCTAGATTATTTATTAAACATTTGTGCATTTACATTTGGATTTGAGTACATGTAAACAATTACTCCGTATGTTGTTATGGGTTTTGAATGCCTGAATGTTTATGTTTTAGTTTGGATGGTGATTTACCTTGTGCACCCGTTTAAATAAAGTGCGACGGTAACACCCTTTGTTTATCATTCCACTGTGTAAAAACATTTTACATTTTAAGTATTTTGGAAAATGATTTATTAAATTACTAGTTATAATATGTACACATCATTTTGGCCTTCCCATTATTCATTTATTTTTCATTGATTCATCATTATTTTGTCATTTTCATAGGAGCATGTTCACATCATGGCTACGGATCGATTTGGAGTTGATAGAAATATACAATGTGAAGATCCAAAGTTTGTTTCAAAAAAGTCAACCTTGTAGGAAGAGTAGTTTAATATTTTTACAATGTAGTTTATCAGTTCATATTTTACTAGTGATAAATAATTCTAACACCATCCAATGTTTTTACACAATTCATCTTAACAGAAAGTCTATACATATACTACGAGCATGTTTGGCAGACATAAGTCTTTGACTTCTAGCTTTTGTACTGTTGAAAATGTCTCTAAAAACTTCTAGTTGTTTGTTTGACATAACAATTTTTAAGAGCTTTTCAAAAATTAAAAGATTTTTTTTGAGATGCTACAAAAAGTAGCATTTGGGAAAAGCCTGTGACTTTTAGTATTAATCAATTCTAATAGCTTGTATACCAAAACGAACTAAATCAAACAGTCAGTTTTTTACCAAACATCTAACGCCTTTCTTTGAATACTTTATCTAGTGTGGTAAAATCCTAGTGAAAGAACTCGTGCACCGATCCTAGTGAATGGCATGAGGAGAGGTGTTTAGAAGGCCGGTCAATCAAAACTAGCACGGTAAAGAATTCCCAGCCCAAAATCCAAAAAAAAACCAAAGCTGGCACAGGACATTATCCCCGGTTCGGCAAAGAAAACAGTCCAAAAATTATCAAATATCCATGCAAGTCCAACTCCTCAAAGCTCAGAACACAGCTAAATATCCGCATCCCAGGTATCCAAAAAGTCGCGCAGCCCAAATTCCAACAATCCAGCCCAATAATCCATACGCTCCATCCCAGTGGACTAGGGTTTCACCACGTTCCCGGGTCAGGCCCATCAGCTCCAGCCCAGCGTATCATCCAGTTCAGCGCCGCACAGTTGAAGCGGCAATCCCCCCAAAATTCAAAATGCTACAGTACCCGATGCAGACGGATGGGGTCCAATCAGCTTGCAGACCAGTCAACTCGCCGTTGTCCTTCTCCGGCAAGCTCCGATCGGGCTACCCTTGCTCGTATCCAACCAGTACCCTCCCCCCCGCACCGATCATCCCCTCTGGCGTGACAGTCCTTCATCCTCGTTCAAAGCCTTCGGTTTCAGTCCTCTTTCCAATACATAATCCGCTAAATCCCAATCCGTTCACCATCATATCAAGCCCCCACACGCTCAAAGACTGATTCCATGGTTACTAGTACTTGTTCTTGCCCGTATGCATTTTCCGGCGAACTTCCCCTCTCCAGCGAACGAAGCAGCCCAGATACCCAGAACAGTGCCTCCATTCAAATCCATTAGCCTCATCCCACCTTCAAAATCGACCCTTTCACCATATTAGCAGCCCCGCAACTATGCCCATGGTTACTAACCATCGTAATTGTTGGGAAAGTGTTTACTGGCGAGCTACAACCTCTGGAGAACAGGGACACTTACCTTCACAAACGATTTTGAACCCAGCTTCCGTCAATTCAGATCCGATAGCTTCAACCTCACCTTCCAAACTTTTAACCTCCAAATCTGACCCGTTCACCATCGTTCCAGCCCCCTCGGCTCAAGGCTACCGCCCCATGGTTACTAGCCGCCTGTGATGTTAGTCAAGGCGTTTTCCGGCGAAGTATCCACTAACGAAAAACTGCATATCCACGAACAGTTTCGAACCTAAACGAAACATGTTTCCAAAAATGCATAGATAAGAATCTATGTAAATCTAAAGGGCAGTAGTGAAGCCTACCGGAGCCATGAGGACTCCGGCGGCGGCGACCAACACTAAGGGGAGGCGCCGGAAACTGAGAAAGCAACATAGAATATAGTATATTCTAGTGAAAGAGACTCTCAACTCCCTCTAGAATCCTTCGTACATGCCGTTCAAAAAATGCATAGATAAGAACCTATATAAATCTAGAGGGCAGTAATGAAGCCTACCAGAGCCGTGAGGACTCCGGCGGCGGCGGCCAACACTCAGGGGAGGCGCCGGAACCTGAGAAAGAAACTAGAATATAGTACTCCATATATTCTAGTGAGAGAGGCTCTCAACTCCCTCTAGAATCCTTCATACATGCCGACATTTCTTCTTTAAAATTTTGCCAATTTTAAATTGTATATTCCCTTAAAATTTTGCCAATTTTCCTTTTTTAATTGTCCCCCTAACTTTTCCACTTTCTCTTTTAAGTAAAGAATTTGTGGTTCCAGTTAATTCACTCTCCTCTGCACAAACCTCAACCACACAATTTTTACTTTATTAATTCTCGTGCTGGTCAAACTTGACAAAGTTTTAAGGAACGGAGGTAATATTTTACATGTTATTCAAAAAACAATAAATTCGTTTCCACTTAGTTTTAATATATTTTACATGTTATTCAAAAAACAATATATTCGTTTTCACACATTTTTTGTAGAAGGGAGTGTTTGGATCTGATTCTTAAAACTGCTTCTACTCCCTGAGGAAGTTTGAGTATTTGGCTGAAAGTGCAGAAGTGATTCCAGTGCTTTAATTTACTACTAGAATCAGTTTTTTTTAGAAGACGGATGAGACTAGTTTCTGAAAACTGATTTTGATTCTTCTTCTGCTTTAAAAACGAAGCAGAAGCTGAATCAGTTCGAAAGTCTGAAGTTTTATTCTCTCTTTTAGTGACATTGTGGGCTAAGTTGACTAGTATCTCAATTTTATTCTACTAAACGTGCTACTAATGATTTTTTTGTCCCGGTTTTATGCATCTTAAAAGCCATTATTTTTAGTGTAACATGGTCACTAAAATTATTATTGGTTTACAAGCACTTGGCAAAATCTTTTCCTCGGTCAAACGGTGTTAACCGATCATGAGGTTATAAAGTCATCCCAATTAACTTTACCACTTTCCCTTCTAATCAATTATTTTGTGTTTCCTGTTATTTCTCTCTCTTCTGCACAAACCTCAACCACACAACTTTTACTTTATTATTCTCCGCGCCGGTCAAATTTGGCAAAGTTTGAAGGGACGAAGGTAGTATAATAATAATATAAACGTTGCATAGTACCACAATATCAACTCCTGTATAGTGCATACAACCGGGGACGTAGCTAAGGGGGTCAACCCTGGCTCCGACCCATCTCAAATTTTAAAAATGTCTATATTTTTAGTGTAAAAATATTTGTGTAATTTTTTCTTCTAAAAATATTCTTTGTATTGGCCTAGTCCAGTCAGTGCCTTGGCTCCGCCCTTGCATACAACCGTAACACTCCGTATTAGACAGCTCTGTATTGTAGTGATGGTTGAAACCAGTGAGGCCTAGGGTGCAAATGAGCGAGCCGCTCGATCAAAGCTCGAATCGGTTTGGTCAAACTCGAGCTAGCTCGTTAAGCAGTCGAGCCATAAATGAACTAACTAATTTTAGGTTCACTAGCTCACGAGCCTAGTTTTAAATGTGTGTATATTTATATTAATATATACTCCAGTATAATATATAATACAGGATTATTCCTGTCTGGAATTTCCGGACAGGAGCCCCGTCCGGCCTCCTCTGTTTGGGGGCCTTCCCGGTGGTATTTTTTGCTCAATTTTTTATGTATGTTCCACATCAAGTCTAGTTCATCCATACCAAATTTGAGCCAAAAATTCAATCGGGAAGGTTGTCAAATGATTTTTGCAAGTTAACTGGTCCGGAATATACATATTGTTCGAGAAAGAAAGTTAAAAAAAAAAGGAAGGAAGGGCAAAATTGTTCTTTGAGACCCGCTGAATTCTTCGGCTATCGTGTCCGCAGGTCACCCTAGACCCGCTGAATATACATATTCCGGACCAGTTAACTTGCAAAAATCATTTGACGACCTTCCCGATTGAATTTTTGGCTCAAATTTGGTATGGATGAACTAGACTTGATGTGGAACATACAAAAAAAATTGAGCAAAAAAAATCACCGGAAAGGCCCCCAAAAGGAGGAGGCCGTACGGCGCTCCGGTCAGTAAAATCCTTACCGGAAGATTACTCATATATAATATATTAATATACAATATATATTAATATATAATATATATTAGTACTTATAATATACTCCGTATATGATATATTATATTAGAACCACAACTGGTTGGAGACTTGGAGTTAAGATTATATTTTGTTTATTTTATGTCCCCGTAACTCTTGTTTCAGTTTAATCTTCATGGTTTGATTACTTTTGATTTATTTTGGACAACATTTACTCTACTTTTAGTTGTTGGACATGTAAATTGCAATTGGCAAATGTTAAGCACAAATATTCAAAGATTCTTTCATACTTGAGCTCGAGTTCAAACTCGAACTTTCGAGCTGATCGGACTTGTGACTTTTGAGTTGATGAATCAAAGTTATCAAGCCAGTCGAGTTGAATCGAGCCATCCAAACTTTTGAGTAAATGTTGTCGAGCTCGAACCCTGATCTTTAAGCTCGTTCGAGCCGAGCTCGAGCCAATACAATATATTTCGAGCTCAAGCTCGAGCTTACATAGATTCGGGCTCGACTCGGCTCATTTGCACCCCAACTTAGACCTAACATTGGGTTCAAACTTCTCAGAATCTAGACCTGGGTCGACCGGTCTTTAAAGACCAAAGCCTAAAATGGGATCAATTGGACCGGACCATGAATATATATTCCATTAAACATCATTGCGTAATAATGAAATCAAATCCTGCATGTACCATATCTCATGTTTTAGTAATACAGCCTGTTTTAGGGTTGTTGCTAGTAAAGTCAGACCAGCTGATTAAAAACACAGGGAAAGAAAGATGCATGAGTGCATTTATTGATTTTTTTTGGATTCCAAAAGAGAATGACTAAACTTTTTTTTGGGTTTTGCCAGTTTGGAACTCACAACTAGAGGAATGGGGGAATGAGCCGAGGCAGGGCAAAGGAGGGGAGGGAGGCGTTCAAGCTAAGCCAACGAGTTTCTCGCTGAGTTCCCACAGTTTGCGGGCCTTTTCAACATCACTGGCTTCTGGAGACAGCTGGTTCTCAAAAGAAGCCGAGTCCTTGTTCCAGCTCCAATACACGCCCGACTTGGTCAAGCTGGGATCGCTGACCACTTGAGCCAGTCTCTTCCCGGCCTCCTCCTCGGACACATATCCCTTGGTGATGTACTTCTGGAAGGGCGGGAAAAGCACCCTGAACAACGGGATATGTTCCCTGAACAGTCCGGTGGTGGCGATGCAGCCAGGGTAGAGGGAGGCGAATGTGATTCCGGTGTCTTCGTGGTAGCGCCGGTGGAACTCTTGCATCGTCAGCATGTTGCATACCTTGCTGTCCTTGTATGCTTTCGCGCCGTCAAATTCTCCCCCGTCAATCATCGCCGAGCTGTTTAGTCCGTTCAGTCCTCCGGCTAGACCCCTTAGGTCCCCCAGGTTTGCCTTAGGAGGTACGTTTCCAGCCAGTGTGTTAGTATTCCCTGATCACAGACCAATCAATTCCAGAGTTAACATATGGCATATATGGAGTAAGATCTATCATTCTAACACACAAAAACTTCTGCTGTTCACACAAGGCATGTGAAGGTGGTGTAAAAGCATCGTGTTTAACGGGTGTTTGGATCTGATTCTTAAAACTGCTTCTACTCCTTCAAGGAGCAGAAACAGAATCAGGAGTGTTTGGGTGAAAGTGCAGAACTGATTCGGGTGCTAAATCTGCTCCTAGAATCAGTTTTTTGAGAAGTTGGTAAAGACCGGCTTCTGAAAATTGATTCTGATTCTGCTTCTGTTTAAAAAAGAAGCAGAAGCAGAATCAGTTCCAAACACCCCCTAAGTAACACTTTCTAATTGAATGAGCAAAATTCATTAACTAGAAATGGGTTTGGCGGACTGTTAAATAATTAGTTAGATCATGTATTTTTATATAGTTTATTCTTTTCAATCTTAATTTTATTTCCAAAGGCAATCAGCCAATCAGCAATATGTGGGAAAAGCTTGAAAAACAATACCACTATTTCTGTCTTTTCCTTCGCTCCCAGTCTGAAACTCCCGAACCAAACAAGACCATAGCAGAAAGTTTGGATATATTTATGCTCATACTTATTTACATCTGATGTTTTTGCTTGTCTTTTATCAACGGGAAATATAGGCGATATCAAAATAACTACGGGAAATAGGCCTTTACCTATGTGAGCTTGCATCCCTTTAACCTAGATGACTTGAGATGTATATAGGATTAAAAAACATGAGTACAAAGTCTCAAATATTTTAGTAAATATAAAGTGCAAACACCAAATCTCCCTAAAAGTAGACTGTAAATCTGATAACATACTTAGGGTCTGTTTGGCATGCGTATTTACTACTCCTAGCTAAAAGATGCAAGATAAGGAGTAGCTAAGAGCTCAAAAGTATGTTTCTAGGATCTAACAGTTGAAACTTAACATGATAAGGCATTGTTTACATTGATTTCAGATGGAAAATAAAATGTGCATTTTTTGTTTAACAATTAGGTTCCTAAGTGGCTAAGTAGAAACAATGAGTGAACTTTCAAATAGGAGGTCTGTATATAAATTCTTTTATTCTAGTTACCAAGCATGAATAATGACTTATTTGGAGCTTAAATAAATGATGATAAAGTCCAAAAGTAGCTAGGCCAAATCATGAGGATAAGAACTATGGAGTATTTACCTGTGATGGAACCGACAATGATGAGCCTCTTGGAAGGGTAATCAGACTGTTTCAAGTGATCAAAGAGCAATCTTGAGAGCAGAAAGTGTCCCAGATGGTTCGTCCCCACACTCAGCTCAAACCCTTCTGCCGTATAGGTCGGTTCTTTGGCCGTCGGCAAGTAAACAGCCGCATTACACACCACAACATCAAGAGGCCGGCCGGACCGCCGGAAGTTGTCCACGAATTGCCGGACACTATCAAGGGAGGCGAGATCCAAATGCATTATGCTGAAACTGTCCTTCACCATGCCCACAGACTTCGCTGCCCTCTCTGCTTTCAAGAAATCCCTGCACGCCATGATCACGTGCCATTTCCCGGTCTCCGCCAGAGCTTTGGCAGTGGCGAGTCCCAAGCCTGAAGACGCGCCGGTGATAACAACAGTGCCTTTTCTTAAAGTTTTCTTGCCGGAGATTTGGGCTCCGGTAACTCCGGGAGCTGCCACCATTGTCTGAGCTTTCACAACGCCATTCCACACTTTCCTTTGTCCCTGCAAGAGCCCCAATTTTTTTTTTTTACTGATTCTCCGAAAAAACATTCCAAAGATTGAACCTTTATAACTTTTGTGTGAGAATCGCACCTTGGTTTTGAGTAAGGAGGAGCTGAAGCCAGATTTGGTGTGGTCTAGCAGTGAAACTCCAAACAGGCTTGAATCCTTCAGGGTCGCACCAATGGTTTTACCCTGCAAGAAACACTCAAATTTGAGCTATGCCTTTGGATTCCTGAGCCTCAAAGATAGAACGCAGAATTGAACTACATACCTCTTTGGGAATGGACACAGTCTGAGGAAGAAAGGTAGCAGCAGCCTGGAGGGCCATGGGGCAATTCTGGGATGTTCTTTATGATTATAAATTAAAAGAAAGATGAAGCCTTCGTTGCTTCTTGGCCACAAACCTTTCTCAATTGGGAAATAGACCATTTTATACCAAAAGGAAATTAAAAGTTTAAAATAACGATAAGATTTGTTTTTACATTTTTTTTGTGACATGGATTCTATGCCACGAATCAGGATGCACTCATGGATTCCCTCCGATATACTTTTATAATTTTCCTTTATCTTATATCTGAGTGGGCCCAGAATGGGTTATTAAGGGCTAAGGCTCGATATCCCAAAGGTATGGCAATATGGGCTCCAAGATGGGGCGGATGTCAAATGGAATAACGATATGATTTTCCTAATGGAACTTTCATTTTGTTTTATTTTTTGTTAGTTTATTTTCGAACTCCTAAAAATCTATTCCAAATTTCCGATAGGAGTACATCTGAGTTGCTCGAATAATCCTATAGATTCCCAGTGATGTGTATACATCTCCACACACAAGAAATCACTCTTAACTTATTGATTTTGCCTCGAAATTCTCAACACAACTCCCAACAAATCGTTATTAATTGATCAAACCGTCAAGTCTAGGGATGGACCCGGGCCGGGCCGGTTCCGGTTCCGGGCCGGGCCCGGGCGGGCTTTTTTTCGGGTTACATGGGCCCGGAACCGGCCCGGGTTGATACCGGGTCCGGGCCTAACCGGGCCGGGCCGGGCCGGGCCCGGTTCAATGTTTTTTTTTTTTTTTTTTTGACTTTCTTGTTATCTCCCTACCCCCCCCCCTCACCCCCACGCCCCAAACCTCCCTAAAACACCCAGCCCTACCCTAGGAAAAGAAAAAAAATTGAAAAAACAAAAAAAAAAAAAAATGAACCGGGCCCGGCCCGAACCGCCCGGGCCGGTTCAACAAAAACAGGGCCCGGAACCGGCCCGCCCGACCCGCCAAAACGGGCTAAAAGCCCGGAACCGGCCAACCGGGCCCGGTCCGGTTCGGGCCCGCACAGTAGCGGGCCGGTCCGGTTCCGGGCCGGTTCGGCCCGGCCCAGTCCATCCCTAGTCAAGTCCTAACAAACCCAGGCTCTCAACAGACATATTATGAACCTTATAGTGGTATGTAGATGCTCGAGACGATCTTTCTCACTCATATTAAAGGAGTAAGATATCTATTGGCCCTTTTGTTGAGTATGAATATTTAGTAGGAATAATTACATTTTTATAACTAAAATAAATATTGTTTACAAAATGTGACTAGTGACTAGAATAATAATGATATTATAATAACATATGTTTAAATTATAAACTTAATTCATATTTGTCTAAATGAGTTTTATTTAGTACTATGTAATATTTTTGAAAAAAAACCCTATTTAGTATGATAAAGCACGATTGAGGTGTCATATGTTAATAATAATCTTACTTGGCATTAGGGCTGGACTGAACCGGGCCGGTTCGGGCCTCGGGCCTGGGCCCGGCCGGGCCTCGGTTCAGAAATATGAGGCCCGAGCCCAAACTGGGGGTGGGCGGTTCCAGGTCCGGTTCCGGGCCGGACCGGGCCGGGCTGGTTCACCCGGGTATTTAATTTTTTTTTTTGGCTTCTTTTATTTAACCCCTAATCCTCCCCCTCAACCCCAAACCACCCCAAATCACCTCAAATGGCCCAAAATACCTAATCCAACCCAAAACATAAAAAAATTTAAAAAAAAAAAAAATTAATTCCGGCCCGGACCGGGCCCGAACCGGCCGGGCCGGTTCACCAAATGGAGGGCCCGGGCCCGGAACCGGTATCCACCGGGCCAGTTCGACCCGAACCGCTGGTGGACCGGGCCACCGGGCCGGGCCGGTTGCTACAGTGGGCGGGCCGGGTCGGTTCCGGGTCGGGCCGCCCGGCCCGAGTCCAGCCCTACTTGGCATGATATAGCCGGCCTTATCTCAACTCACAACCAAGACATCATATAACACAAAAAAGTTAACTAGCAGAAACATCATTAGAAAATCACATTAGATATAATGGAAATTTGTATAGCTAGGATAATCATAATGTCATGCCACAGACCTTTTATATCATGTGGGTCTGAAAAAAATTATATGACCCACTTTCAATGTCGTACATACAAACCTATAAAGTCACACAAATAATTTGAATCCTGTGTTCAAACTTCAAATATAACATAAAATGCTCAATTCGAAATAAGGATTTGAAACCATATCTGGCTAGATTAGGCAAAAGGGATTTTAGAGGTATAAAACCCTAGTTTCATCCTCCCATTATAAGAGCCTATGCCCTATGGCATCCACAAAAATGTATGCACACCTACATATATCGTGTAGAAGAGGGATAGATGCGAGAAAGTGCTAACATGTTAGTTGTAGATGATCCATTCATGATCGTGTGGATATCACTAAGCATGGATCCAGTCCGGTCTGAGACCAGCCGGTCTTTGCCTAGGAAGTTAGAGACCTGAGACTGGCCCGATATAACTGGGTCCTAAACCAGGCCAGTTAGACCGGTCTAGTTCTGATCTCGATTTTAGTCATCTTTTTTTCTTCTTCCAACTTCCCAATAATTTAATACACATTAAAAGTTAAAGGTATAAGTAACTGGTAACTTAAAGCATAACAAGTAACTGAAAGATCATTGGGACCGGGCCTGAGATAGGGTATGTTAGGCCGAGGCCAGGGGCGGTCCTTGAGAAATTGAATAACCAGTCCCGGGCCGATTTCACAGTGTCGAGCCAAATTCTGAGCCAAGCAAGACTGGCAAACCGGGTCCACCCTTAGACACCAGTAGAGCTCGAAAAAGTTTATCAGATCATATGACATCATACACATGTTTGATTTCTCTAATATTTGAGTTGAAATCTGTCTTTTAAAAATAGAGGTACCTATAACTACTTCCGAAGTAAAAGATGATTCGTCCAATCCGAAGTGGCAGAGAAATCTGTTACTTTTAAAAAAATGATATGATCATCAACTCTACAACTGGTCATTACAGAAAGCCAATCACTTCTGCACAACTGTATACCTTACATTTACCCACTTACATTGAATTAAGGATTTTCTTCCCTTTTGTATGTATATATATATTTGTAGTATAAGTATATAACGGAGTGTATATATTATTGCTACTCTTTAATGCCTAGTCATGCAGACGTGATTATCTAATTCCCAGGTCCAACCATCCAACAGGTACAGGGAGGGGGATGGGGATAATACCTGACTAATATTACAAATCTCATCGATCTGTACAAATGTTATCCAATCAGAAGCTCCTTCCCCAAAAGACTAAATCCGTATTGGGATTCCAAAATTCTGGAAAGTTCTGATTTCGCCCCGGGCACCCGCAGTCACAATGACCAAACCCAACCCGGCAGGCTTGGTCTGATTAAACCCATTGGTTAAGTCCATACTAGTGGCAGTTGGAACGACTTTTTCCTGGGGCCACGCTGCGGATATTCTATCGAAGAAGTAGTTGTCCGTGGCACTAGATATAGTTCCATGTGACAGTGATGGTGAGTGTTCATTTCCACATGTGATGGCCTCTTCAACAGGCGATGTCGGGTGGTGATTTGCAGTAGAGACCTCATCCGTTTGATCAAACGAGCCACTGTGTTCCGGAGGAGAGTTGGTATTGTCTTGAGATTTCAGTGTTCCAGGCCAAGGAATAGCCACAGAAACATCTTGACAATGGAACTGTTCATAACACTGCATGACAGTAACCCCTTTAATCCGACCGGGCCGGGAATCGTCTTCATGTTTCCAGACATATACATAAGAGTCCTCACTGGCACATACAACATACTTTCCATCACTAGAAAGAGAGGCAGATATTTGGCTACGTGAATTGCGAAACCCTGCGATGTTTATTACAGATTATTAGCATTACCTTAATGTGAAACCCAACTTATGATTGCTTGCCATGATTTAGCGCCTGTTTGGAAGGGATTGATTGGCCGGAATGGAAGATATGCTAAATTTTTTGAAAGGAAACGCGTTTGGTAAAACAGGTTTCAGGCTTCCAGCCAAATAATCAAGTCAAAGACTACTTTTCTTGTTCTACTTATTCTGCGAATAAGCAGAATAAGCCCATTAATGCTGCCAAACAGGGGTGGCCCTAGGGGGTGCATTGTACCAAACTGGGCCTACTAGTGCTAGTTTTGTTAGAACACATATTATGTTTATACGGCCAAGTTTTCTACAAAACACTAACTTATTTAATTGGGCTGGTTGACTCGCTTGATAATAGAAAAAACATAGTGCAAAAGTTTCTTTTATGGTTGAAATGGACAAAACAAAAAGCAATTAACTCGTACCATTATTTTTATTGTTTTCTGCAATACCTTTCAAAAGCATTTTTCTGCTTACCATAAAAGCTAGAGGAATTGTTTTTAAGTTTTATGCTTGACTTTAAACATGCTAAAACTAAAAGCATTAAGCAGTTTAATGCTAAACTTTAAACATTTTAAAACTAAAAGCATTAAGCAGAGGTACTGAAAAAAGAAAATTGGAATCCGTATTACCCAATAGATCCCTTTTATTTTGCGATTAGAATCTCCAGAAAATACTAATAAAAAGATTAGAATAAAGTATAATCAAGACTAGAAGACACATTCAAGTGTTGTTAATTTTTTCTATTCTATTTTTTTTTTCCTATTTTACCTAACTAACACACCGACAAGTACTTTTTAAAATCACTTTCCAATATTAAACACTGTCTCTATATATTCCAAAATAAATCACTTCTCACCAGATTAGGCAAATCATTCATATCAACACAATTTAACCTACTTTACCAACTTCACCGAAACTAATTTGTACCAAATGAGCTCAAAATTTATTTTGAGTGGATGGTTTTGAGTTTCCAACTATTGGCCATAAGCCCATAATTTTAATTTGGCACTTCAATCGCTTTTTCATTTAATGGGGAAAAAACTTCAATCGCTTAAATTGCATGTTTAATGTACCTTTAAACTTTTGAACCAGATCAACACCTTCAATAACCCGAATTCGAGAATCTGCAGATGTGACAAGCACTCTTGATGTACTTCCAGGGACAAACTGCACACACGTTTTTATAAGACAATGACAATCCAAA